CCCCCCCCCCTCAGTCTCCCCGTCGTGCCTCGACCGCCTAAAAGCTTGACTAAAAGCTCTCCCGAGGCAGCGCGCCACCGCCCGCCCGGTTGTCTCACCAACCATGAGGGAATGCACGGCGGGGGAAGGGCGAAGTTTTCAAATAACGTTTCAATTTATTATGAAGGGTAATGACGGCGTGCAATGCGGGAGGGTCGTACGCAAGCGCGCGCGCACACGCACACACACACACCAAGCGCGCGCGCCTGCTCGCGGTAATATGTGGCCTCCACCGCGCGCATATTTCACATTCCCAATAGGGCTATTCTAAGAGAGATTACCCCCGCACGGACAGGACGGAGGGAGAGAGAGAGGTAGGGGGAGCGCGGGAGGGAGAGACACCCGCAGTCTCTTCGCCTTCTCTCGTGGCGCGGCGTGGCGTTCGATTGCTCTCCTCCGCGCGCTCCCGCCCCGCCCCGCCCCGCCCCCGTGGAGTGGGTGTACGGCGTACAACCGCCGCGGGGCCCGGCGGCTGGGGTCGCTGAATGTGTACCATGGCGGGGAGCCGCGTTGGGAGATCAGGGTGAGAGGCCTGCCAATAATTTCTGATGGAGTAAGAGCCAGGTAAGCCCCTCTCGAGGACCGGGGGGCGGGAGGGGCGGGTGTGAGGGTCTCACCCGCAGGGGAGTTGTCGCCCCCCAACCCCAACCCCATCCCGAGCGCCCTTCATCTCGCCACGGGCAACTATTTGCGCTGATCCTGATATCATATACCCCCGCCCCGCTCTGCCGTCGACCAGCGTTGCGACCGGGGAGCGCTACATGTCGCCTGCTTGTACCGCCGCGTAACGGAGCTCGCTGGGTTGGAGTACCAGCAGACGTATCTCCCATCTCTCTCCCTCTCTCTCACACGTTCGCATGCTGCATGCGCACGAGGGCCTCTCACTCCCTCTCCTCGGTGCGGGCGCGGTCAGCCCGTCCTGTAGTGGGCGGGACACACCTGCCCCCGGGCCGGAGAGTGGAAGGGCGACGGCCCATTCGATAACCTGCCCCGCGGCCCCGCCCCGCCCCGCCCC